GTTTCTCATGATAATTTTGGTGTTCAGACATTCTAGAATGACTCATATATCCCATGCACTTTTTACAGTACACATAACTTTCGGATGAAATCCGAAGTTTCCACATTTATTTATTATTAGAAGTGCGAAAAAAAGCAATAGAACAATGTGTATGATTTGTATATAAATAAGTCGAACATGAGAAATTGAAAGAAAGAAACAGAATTTTAGATAGGAGATATTCTTAATCTGAGGGCGTGGATGTGGTTGTAGCAATAAATAGTCAAACCCACGCGCAATCCGACACCCACACACGCTTGTTTCGGAAAATGTACGTCATATATAGGTTAGGAATATGTCCTATCTAAAATTCTGTTTCTTTCATTCAATTTCTTATGTTCGACTTATTTGTATACAAATCATATACATTGTTTCTTTTTGCTTTTTTTAGCGCTTCTAATAATAAAAAAGAAAAAGTTTTTCATGCGAACTTTGTATAATCACATAGTATACTTTTTAGCTTTTCTATTCACTGACAAACGAGTGAATGTGTATGTTGTCCAAATTCCATCGGATATTGGACAATAAAATCATCAGCAAAAATTGATATTGTCGTAATTCCTGAATAATTTCGACAAATTCGGAAACTCGACAATTTTGTCCAATTTCCGATACAATTGGACATTTTGACGAAATTCTAGTGGAGATTGGACATTGTCGAAATTCCAATGTCCCGATTCCACTAAACCCTTGCGACGGCATCTCAACTCGAAAACCATGTATCATTTCCAACGGTTTACGCACCAGATGAATATGATTTGGAAGGTTTTATGCGAAACCCTGTTTACGAAACCGTTTGAGCATAATATTGCGGAGGTTTCGTGCCAAACCTGTGGTACGAAACCTTTGTGGCTTTTCCTGGTAAAGGTTTCGTACTGAACCATGTGTACGAAACCATTTTTTCCATTTACCAAGAAGACGTTCCATACGGAACCTTTTTTCTACGAAACCAAAAAAGGATCTGACCGTGTGCCCGCGCTCAGATCCTTTTTTGGTTCCGTAGAAAACCTTTTTTTTTACAGTGTACCTTACCTTTTAAGATAAAATTCTATTTATTTATCATCTTTTTCGTTTAGATTCAGCTACTCTGAAAACAAATAAGGTGTCACATGGAACCATTTATGGTTCTAGTCAAGATACTGAATCTTTTAAGGTTTCGCTCGCTCATTAATAAACCATCTAGGGTTCAAGCTAGTTTAAAGAACCATCTCAGATCCTCAACAGTTGCGGATGTTTGAAAAGGTTCCGTCCTGCGCCCTTTATTTCGATGCCGAACCATTTTTCCAAAGAAGGCTCTGACTTGAATTACGTCATAAATGTCCTTTGGAAAATGTCCTTGACAAAATGTCCCCAGGTTTTGGTCCTTGGAAAAAATGTCCTTGAGATTTTGGTCCTTGAGAAAATGTCCCTCGACTAATTGTCCTTTTGCAAAATGCCCCTCGAACTAATTGTCCTTTTGCAAAATGTCCCTCGAACTAATTGTCCTTTTGAAAAATGTGCTGTGAAAAACTCTCTTTCGTAAAAATTTTCATTGCCCTCATCCTCAAGATGTTTGATGGATCCAATAGACAGATGACGCTGCAATTCAAATACATTGATATCGATTAAAGGATAAAGTTATGAATGGTGAAGTTACTTACTTATGACTAAGAATGAAAAGATCAACGACCACTGGTCATCGTTACATAACTGACTGTGTCTATACGTAAGGATTCGAAATAATAAAAACAATTATTTTTAAATGGAGCCGAATGTATGTGCATTAATTGATGAAACTTCATCATCATCATCATCATCATCATCATCATCATCACCATCACCATCACCACCGTCAA